AAAACACACATTGGGAAAATATGCACCTCCTAGCCCCAAAGCTCTGCCTAAAGGGGCGGTCATAACCCTAAACGTTGAACCCTAAACCCTGAACCCTAAAACCTCAAACCAAAAAAAAAAACTAAACCCTCAGAAGGAGTCTGGGGATTGAGGGTTTAAGGTTTACGGCTTAAGATCAAGAGTGCACCTTCGGCGAAGCATCCAATAAAGGCGGATCTTGCTACTCCGGAAGTCTTCTGTAGGGTCACTCTGTTGGTTCAATCCTCCCAAACTTTAAACTGTGAAGCCCCGACAATGAGCTTTAGAATCCCTAAACCCGAGAACACGCAGGACGTGCGCGAAGCCCCATTCTTTGAAGCCCTGGAAGGCCTAAACAGCAAACCCTAAACCCAAACCCCTTAAACCCAAACCCCTAAACCTCAAACCCCTAAAGCCTAAACCCCCAGATCCCTTATAGAACCCTCTTGGAGCCCCTATAGATTTCTCAACCCTAAAGCCCTAAAGCCTCGAGCTTCTGCGAAAGGACACGGATCTGCTCCTCAAGAAGCTCGGCGTCCTCTGCCGCGCAGGGAGGTTCAGGGTTTAGGGTTTAGGGTTTGGGGCCTGCATTGTTGCCAATATTATTTTGGGGGGGCTCCTTTTTATAAATATAGTAAAATGGGCCCCAAAACATCCTATATTACGGTTCTAGACATGAAGCCGTTATGGGGTGTTAGGTGTTGGGGCGTTCAGGGGTCCAGGGGTTCAGGGGTTTGTAGGGTTTACGGTCTCAACGTTCAGGGGCTTCTTTCAAAACAGTCCTTTGGCTTAGGGGCTTTACCGTGTCGTAGGTTTTGGACTTGGGTAAATTTTTCATGATTAATGATTACACTTGAAGCACAACTACGACTTAGGCTTCAGGGTTTAGGGTCCTAAACCCTAACCCTAAGGGTCCAAATGACCCAAAAATCGGGTAGTTTGGTTACGGATAGTAGTAATATGTAGTAATCTAGCTTAATATTTGGGAGAGTATACGATTATTAGGTACTTGGACCCTTAGGGTAATCTTTAAACTTTAAACAACCGGAAGTTCGATCCCCAATAGCGAGCATAGCTTCTCGGAGTCTGAGCTCTGGTTCGCACGAGGTAGGGAAGCTAAGGTGGGAGCCTTAATTAATTAGACGAGGGTTTTGGGGTACATTTATAGCATAGTCATAATAAGGAACCCCCCAAAATGGTATAGGTAATTATGTAGGCCCCTATATATATATTACTTCGGTTTTGGGTTGAGGGCTTAGGCGTCCTGGAACATTGCCAAAATTCAGGTCTCTGTATGGCTGCATGCACCGAGTGCTGCTAATGGCTTTTGCTGCTCCTGTCATTATTGCTGTTTCGGCTGTTGTAGCCACTGTTGTTGTCGTTGTTGGCGGTGGTACCAATGTTGATGCTGGCGACGATGGTGACGAAGGTATAATGAAGTATCAGGATGTCGTGTCGTGGGTCGTGGGTGTTATTGCAGCAGCCCGGTGGCAAAGCGAGCCGACGCATGCGTTGATAATGTAGGGGCCTTAATAATTAGAATAGGGTTTTGGGGCCCAATATACTATAACTATAATATGGAGCCCCCACAATAGTATAGGTAATTATTAAGGTCCCTATGTTACAAACATCCATCTCCAGTGTCGGCTTGGGTGGCTCTGAGGAACATTGCCCTGGATGAAGCTTCGAAGGCTCAAGCACCCTGAGCCCTAAACCCTACACCCAAAGTACAACAAGAACAGCCTAAGCATCCTTGCACGGCCTGGAGTCGTGAAGATTGCCATGGCTTAGCAAGCAGCAAGCCTTTCTTCGGTAATGTCTCACATTACACCCACCAGGTCACGCAGAGCCCCTTTCTAAAACCGAAGCGCAAAAATCCACAAGTCTCCCTAATCCACGTTACCCAGACCCTGTACCCCTAAACCCTGAACCCTGTAGGTCCTAAATCCCCCCACCCCTCGTACCCCGCCGCCTGCTCCATCGTGGCCGTGGCACATGCCTCCGCCGCGATTTTCCCTCGGAGCAGGCCCACCTGGGACCTCGGGAGTTTTGGTTTAAGGGTGTAGGGTCATGATTTGCCAGGGTACCTTCGGTCTGCCAGACGATCACGGTGAACAGCAGGTATATAGACAAAGAAGGGGTCAAAGAACCACTTGACCACACATACTGCTTTTCTTGTGCCAACGATATATAACTCACGAGGCGTTGCTGCGATAATGAAGGAGGCGCTACTGCTCATGGTAGTGCTTTCATAGCATTTCCTCTTGCAATTTGCCTTATAATCTTAAACCCTAAAGCCCCCAAACCTAAACTTATGCAGTAACCCTATAACCCTTAACCTAAAATAGGGGCCTTAACAATCACAATACGGTTTCGGGCCATTATACTATAATTAGAACAAGAACCCCCCACCAAAAAAAAAGTATTGGTAATTAATTTCGACCCTATAGTAAACCCGAAAGAAGGGCTGTGGCTAAGGGCGTCTGGATAGAGGACCCGCGCCGATTCGGGGCCCATTGTGGATCGCAGGACTTGTGTTGTAAGTGTAAAGTAGCATACTAGGGTTTTTTTTAGGGTTTAGGGGTTTAGGGTTTAGGGGTTTAGAGTTTCGGGGTTTAGGGTTCATGGGGTAAAAAAAGGCAACCGTGGAGATACGTGATAAGTCACAGTCGAAACCATAAGAACGGGGTCGGGAAGAACCTGCTTCCGGCTTTTGAAAGAACCTTCGGGGAGCATATGGGTAATTTTCTAAATTAGGGTCCCTTTTAGGGTCCTTTCTATAAGGGTGTCGTACTAATTGGGGACCCAGAAAGGGACCCTAATTTAGAGAACTACCCACATCGGTGCAGGATGTCAGGGGATGCTGGTTGAAATCTCGTTCCTGCGGCCAAATGTCTCGGGCTCACTGCAGAAGGAAGCCGCGATGCAATCCTCCCCAACGTTCGAGCTTAAAGGCTTGACAACTAATAATAGGGGCCTCAAAAATTAGAAAGCTTGGTTTTGGGGCCCATTAGACTATAATTAGTTATAATAAGGAACCCCCCCCAACAAAAAAGTATCGGAAATTCTTGAGGCCTCTACGTTACCAGCAGACGACTTGTGGGTTCTAGGCTAAGGGGGGGGGTCTCAGGGTTTTGGGGCTCTAGGCTTCCATCCGGCTTCTTCGCCCCATGGCCCAATACCCCATGCCCCCAAACCCTAAAACTTAAAGCTGTCATCCAAGGCCACGGACAGCCTCAATCCATGGCTGCCCGAAAAAGAAAGATGACTGAGGTATTTAGGGTTTAGGGTTGAGGACGTCTTCAGTTGGGGCGTTGAGTCTCGTCGTCGCAGGGAGCTCCTTGCAGTGCTTCAAAGATTTGAAGGTGAAGTGTACGGTTTAGTGTTTAGGGCTTGCGCTTTAGGCTGCCTTTTTAAGCTGCTTCAAAAGGTAGCTGCTTCAAAAGGTTTGAATTAGGTTCACTGCTTCGGGCCCGTTAGCAGATCTTTTAGGCGTTTGGTGGTATGTAGTTTAGGGTTTAGGGGTATTTGCAGTTTTCATGGTTTGTGGGCAGTTCAGTTTAGGGCTTCTTCGCACCCAGAGAACATCTCCGGGAGCAGACGAGTCATGCGCCCTTTGACTAGAGAAGCCTTGAGAAACTGGGCGATGCTTCGATACGGCTAGAACCCCAAACCCTAAACCCTAACACATAAGGGCGAAGTCTGTGTGCACCTCGATGTGTCATTAGAGTAAGCCTCAAACAAAGGATGACGCAAGTTTGGCGGCTGTAGTTCGAAGGTGCTGTATCCCGGTACTGCACTCACCGACCGAAAGCATGTACCCTAAACCCAAAACCCCCAAAACCTAAACCCAAAACCCCCAAACCTTACATCCGAAACCCCAAACCTCTTAAACCCGTAAACCCTACACCCTAAAGCCTAGACCCTACACCTTAAACCCTAAAACCCACACCCTACACTAAACCCTAAACCCCTAAACCAACCCTAAACTAAACCCAGACCCTTACGTAACGTATGCCTACCGTGTGTCCAATCCTCTCTCCCCTTGAGCCCGGCACCGAACATCCGAGCCCTTAGAGCCGAGAGCCTGGGTTGGGGGAAGCTCTAGAGCCCTAGACCTTTGTTGGGTTTAGGGTTTAGGGTGTCTAGGGGTTTAGGGGTTTGGGGTTTCGGGTTTCGGGGGTTTACGGGCTGAGGGGTCTAGGGGTTTAGGGGTTTAGGGGTCTAAGGTTTGGGGGTTTAGGGGTTTAGGGGTCTAGGGGTTTAGGGGTACAGGGTTTAGGGGTTTAGGGTTTCGGGGCCCTAACCCCAAAAGACCCAAAAGACCCCAAAACACAAACACCGCAAGCCCCAAGACCCGACGGTCCTAAACTCCTGACACCCCAAACCCTAAGACCCTGAATCCCGAGTCTTAAATTGCTCAAGACCGCCTAAGACCCTGAAGGCTAGAAAGCAGAATGCAGAAGCGTCCGAAAGCCACGCCAGGCCTGCGTCCGATCCATGCAGCTCCGCTCCAGATCGTCCAGAGCGTGCAGAGCCTTGTCGTAGAACTCCTTAGCAATTTGAGGGTTTAGGGGTTTAGGGGTTTAGGGTTTAAGGCTGGTCTGCGTAGGGCTTTCGGGCTTAGGATTTGGGGGTCCGGGCTTAGGGCTTGGGGTTAAACGGTTAGGGCTGCGGGGTAGGACTTCATCAATGGTTTTTAAGGCTTCAAGGACAGAGAACCGCCTCAAGCGAGCTGCCCGCAGATAAAAGGAAGAACAGGTGGCCCATGCTTACACAGAGGCTCCACAGTTCGAGTACCCACAAAAAGTGCCTTCCGGATTAATGTTTGGGTTTAGGGCTTAGGGCTTGGGGCCTTTAGGGTAAGGGGCCCCTTGGGATATAGACTCCCTCAATAAGGTCCCTTGCAAGTAGTGCTACGAAGGGTCGCCTTTAAGGGGTCTCCCTAATACTACCTAGGGTTATAATGGGTTAGGGTTGGGGGGTTTAGGTTTAGGGTTTAGGGTTTAGAGGACCATAAGGGGTTGGGGGTTTAGGGTTTAGGGGGACCATAAGTTTGAGCCAAAGTATAAGGATCTAGTCTGGCAGAGAAAGGGCTTATTAGTCACGGATCTACATCAGCCAGGCCTAAGATATGAAACTCAATGAGACCAGACATCTGTCAAGCACAGTCCTTTACGGTTGATGATACAAAATCTGCATTGCCCATAAGAATGAATATACCATGACTCCCATAGTTTCGGGTCCTTAAGGTAATGCAGGATTCATATCATCAACAGTATGACACCCGAACCCTACACCTCAACCCAACCCTAAGCTTCTTTGAGAGACGGCTCGGTCTGGTCGTGGAGGATACGCTCATGCATCTCGATGGAAATGAGCCCACCACCTTAGTTGACAATCTTCCTTGGCCCGCCCCAAGCAGCCCAAGCAAGCTCACACTTTCTGATGACGGCCTAGGCGGCTTCGGCTTCCATGTATATATACTTACCACCCACCCTCCCCAACCTCTCCGCCGCCCCTCTCACGCAAAAGGAAGTGTCCAACTTAAGCTCTAAGCCTCAGCTTAACAAGTAAACGTAGCTCGGCAACTAAACCCTAACCTCAGAACTCCCAAACTTAGCCTCGACTCAGCTACTAAACTCTAACCCCAAAACCCTAAACATCCCCAAAACCCCTAAACGCCTAAACTCGAAATCCTCAGCTCAGCTATCTAAGCCCAGCACCCTAAACATCCCCAAACGCTCAACTCCCAAAAAAGCCCAAACCCCTAAACCCATAAACTCCTAAACCCTAAAACCCTAAACCCATAAACGCCTATACCCTACACCCCTAAACCCCTACATAACCCTTAAACCCCTAAACCCTAAACCCCTCGAAGCCCTGAACCCTGAAGCCTCAACTCAGCAACTGAGCCACTTTTTTCCAGCTCCTCCGACTGGTACTGCAAGGATCTCCTGCCAGCTGCCAGGGCTGAGGGATCCTGGAGGGTCTCCTTAGGGTCTCTTCTTTAGGGCTCAGTTCAGGGTTCAGGGATTAGGGTTTAGGGGTTTAGGGTTTAGGGTTTAGGGTTCAGGGTTTAGGGGTTTAGGGGTTTAGGGTTTAGGGTTTGATTAGGGTTAGGGTGTAGAGTTTCGGGTAACTAGTAGCTCCTATGTATAAGGTTTTGAAGACTCTGTCAGGGTTCTAAAGGGTTTTTTGGCTGAGGGAGCCGACGGTCTAACACAAAAGGTAGGAAACATGAGTAGTAGTGTACGTTTTTTGGACAGGCTTGCAGGAAGTCGTTATTTTTGAATAGTTTCGAGCAGTATCGTCTTGTAGTCCCACAATAACTGTAGCCTCGATTGAAAACTTAACGCCCCCATAAGGAACCGACATAAAACCCCGTTGTCGCATTAAGCCCTGCATGAACACTGCATTAACAAACCCTAAGAACAAGTCGATAAAGGCCTTTCAAAAGCCTAACCTAGGGCTTCAGGTGTCCGGGTTACCTCAAGTTACAGTGATTCACTTCTGGGGTTTCGGGCACAGTGCTTGGAGTGTACGGTTAAGGGCTTGGCGCTTGGGGTTGAGAGTTTAGGGCTTAGGGTTTAGAGTGTAGGGTTTAGAGCTTGGGGTTTAGGGTTCAATCGGGTTGGGGGTTAAGGAGACAGAAGATGAAAGGATTTGAAAAGCTGGTTTATGGTTCGGTTTCCAGGTACACCTTTTGGAGCTGTGGATGGTGGCAAAGGACTTGTGCTGCTGCTGCGCTTCTATGCTGCTGTGATCCTACTTCGAGCTTCCACCTTCAAAGGTACAGGCAGCCTTCATTCCACAAGGGGTGTGCATCCTACAGCAAAGCTGCCTCTATCGGCACAGTACAAGCAACAAGCTGGTCTCTCATACCCGCGCATGGTGCTAGCAACCCACACTCCTTTCATCCAAGCCCGATCAAACCATTCAGTGATGCCTCTGGCTCTGCATGAACTGCTCTTCCCGCAAGAAGGAACCTTGGTGGAAGATAAACCCATACCAAGCTTCTGGCGGCTTCGTATGTCGACAGTTTGAGAAGACTTTGACACGTTCCTCTGTCTGAGATGCACTCCCTAAGCCCCAAACGCTGCGCCCGAAACCCTAAAGTTTAAACTTTAAACTTTGAACCCTGAGCCTGCACCATGATGTCGTCGGCCCCTCGATTCTCGTTCCCGTTCATGACATCTGAAACTCACTACTTCCCTGTCTTCCCACCCAGCATGACATCTAAAGACGGTCCGAGGACCACCTCCCTCTAAACACCGAACTCCGAACCCTGAATCCTAAATTGCAAATGTCCCACAACACCACACCAAACCCTCAATCCTAAACCCGAAACCCACACATGTGTTTTGAACCATGGGCCTCCGAAGCAGACGGGACTTCGGGGGGAAAAAAAACATCATGGCTGCATCAAGTAACCACAATCTCCCAACACCCACCCTAAACCCTAAATGATCAACCCCTAACCCCTAGACGCTACCCCCAAACCCCAAAACCCTCAAGTTGCTAACTAGACCCCAAAACATCCCAAAACCCCAAAACCCTCAAATTGCTAAGAAGTTCTACGACCTTTCAACCATCAGCTCGAAGCCTCAGCCCCAAACCCCAACTCCTAAACCCTGCAACCCCCAAGCCCTAAACCCAAACCCTCAATCCCCGATCCCCGGAACCCTAAACCCTAAATCCTAAACCATAAACCCTACACCCCAAACCCTAAACCCTCAAGAAAGAAAGAAATAGACATTGCTTGTTGCTGTTGGCCATCCGGAGACCTATTTTGTCGGTCGGGTCACAACCTTTCCATGTTCTAGTAAACCAATCTGCGTGTAGGGTGAAGCATGCCAACCTGCCCACAACCCAGCGAGCCCACTAGCCCCAGCCCAGCCCAGCCCAGCCCAGCCCAGCCCAGCCCAGCCCAGCCCAGCCCAGCCCAGCCAACTTGGCCCAGCCCCAGAGCGGATCACAAAGCGTCCCACAGCAAGCCCTTCCGCCTCCCAGCCTCAGAAGGTTTAGGGTTTAGGGTTTAGGATTTAGGATTTGAGGTTTAGGGTTTAGGGTTTGTATTTGCCATCCTCAGCCCACCCAGCCCAGCCCAACCTCCAGTCAGCCCAGACCACCCAGCCCAGCTGCACAGCCCTCCACCAAAACTTTCCGTCCTTCAGCCCCAAGCCAAGCCAGCCCCATCCCCACCCCCTGGCCCACCAGTACCCAAGTCAGGTTTCAAAAGGAAAACGTTTCGCTCAAAACTTACGGTCAAAACGTTATTGGAACCTCGACCCTTAACAAATTCCATAAACCCTAAATCCGAAAGCCGAACTCCAATACCCTAAAGCCTAAATCCGAAACCCTGAACCCTGAACCCTAAACCCTAAACCCTGAACCCCGAACCCTTGAGCCCCTAAACCTTGACGGACTTGATCCGGCCCTTCTGGAGGATCTCCAGGCCTTCCGCAAGCCAGCGGGCTAGG